GGGGGGTAGACCAAATTGTTCACACAAAGAATCTAAATTCTTTTTATTCATGGCTCTATCTTTGGCTAATTGTCTACAAATTTTATCTTCTTGACAAACTTTCATGGCGATCTTGGTAATAATAGTATTAAGCTGTTCATAACTAAGATCGCCATATGGAATTTCTCCATTGGTAGATTGATTTCGGAGTTTGCTTCTAACAGTATCTCCGAATGAGTTAGGAAGACTAGCTAAGAATTTTTCTTTCCAAAAAGGTTATTGACTGTCTTCTCTGGTATAAACCCTAGTTAAGAAAGTGTCTTTATACCACTTATAATCATCCAAGGTATTACACTTGAGATTTGATAAAAGCTCAGCAGATCTATCTCTCCAAATAGAAGGATCTCCTAAGAAATGTTGAGCAATAGTGTATAAAAGTGTATACACAGCATCAGAGAGTTGCTCACTATTGTCAATAATGGCTTTTCCTTTATTATCAAGTTTGACAGCAGAGAAGATACTTTCTCTATCTGTTTCGGTAAGATAATTATCTCACTAGCCTTTGAGTTGGCTAGTAAAACCAGCTACCAAAATATGGACAATAGTATCTTCTGGGTAATTATGGTTAGTGAAATATCCTAAGGCTATAATGGACATATGCTGAAGAGTAGTAATAATATTATACTCTGATTTGCCATCTATGTTCCATTCATAGAAATTATTAGTATTGAAACTCTGATGAGTATTATCATGAGCTTCTTCAAGGATAACGTCAGGAGCAGTAGCTCTATTATAATAAAGCTTGGAAGAAGATTTCCAACTATTGGTATTAACCAGATTAATATCTAAAACAAAACCTGTTTCAAAAAATTGCTCAAAATTAGCTTTAGAAATGGCATTGATAGTTTTGGAAAGAAACCTAGTTTTTGGTCTAGCACTAGACTCTTCAAAGGCTTGAGGAGTATCAGGAACAACTGTGATCATACTAGAAATTTTACTAATTAGCTCATCCTGGTTAATTCCTAAAGATATGGTTTTCTCTTTTTGCTTGAGCTCACGAATTTTCTCTTTTGCTTTAGCACTAATCTTAAAAGGTTTGAATATAGGTTTTTCAAGGGAAATTGAAGAAGGTGCTTCTTCATTTTTTTTATTATTGGTAGAGATCTTTTCTCCACTAATTTTATCCCTTAAGACTTGAAGATACTTGTTGGTGTAATTTGCCTGTTCCATAAGGCCTTGGATATAACTTAGAGTAATCGACTCATCAGTATTTTTAGTTTTGAAAGGAGTAGCCATAACTGGATTGCCACTGTTATCTTTTAACTTAGGCAATTAAAATTGAGTTGAAGGAGAAAGATCACCTTGAACAATCTGTCCATCTTTAATCTGTCAAAACATTTTCCAAAACATGTTTAAATAATAAAGTTATTTAATAATATATTTTTAATTCTATTATATTAAATTAATATATTATGTTATAATTCTTTTTATTTATAATTATAATATTAAAAATTAAAAATATTTATATACGATTACACTTTTTAAATAATAAATTTATTTAATAATAAATTTTATATTTATTACATTTAAATAAGTTGAAGAATAATTAAATCTTTGAACAAGAACAAGCCGTAATCAAAACTGAATGAAATTAAATATAAAAATAAAATAATAATAATATATTAATATAAGTTTTATATTCTTAATTTTTTTATTATTAATATTTAATTATTATATTAATATATTATGTTTAATTCTTTTTCTTTATAATAAATAGAAATTCTATAAATAAGAATTATATTTTATTCAAAAATAAAACTTTATAAAAAATGATAGAAAAATAAATTAAAAATTTCTATAAATATATATATATATATATATATATAGTACATTGAGTTTAAATTTTTATCTTAAGTTTTATCACATAGTTTTTTTATTAAAATAAGAGTTTAGAAATATAAGTTATTTTAATTTAAATATAAATTTTATTAATTCTTATTATACTCATATATTATTTTTCTGCATTCTTGAATTTTATAATATAAATATTTTTTATTTATAATTTTTACAATGACTATATATTTAAATATAATAATTTTATTTTAGATGATTTAACAAATTTTGCGAGTGTTATTTTTTGTTATCAATTTTATGTGTTTACTATTATTTTATTTATTAAATATAAGATGTATTTATACAAACAAAATATAATTATCATAAAAAATAAATAAATTCTTCAATACTTAATTATATTATTAACATACATTTGAAATTCAATAATTTACAAATATTTACATAAATAAAAAATTAAATTATTAAATAATTTATCAATTTATATTTTATATATAAGTATATGTTTTAATTTATTATATCAGTAATATTTTTTAGATTACATTAATGTTACAGTGTAGTTAATTTTATATGTATTTGTTAATTTAAAATAATAAATTAATGAAATAAATAAAATTAAATATTTTTAAATTATTTTATTTTTATTTTTATTTAATATTTATTATTATTGTCATTATATATATTATATTGAATTTAAATTTACTTATTTTTAAAATATAATATTTTTTTCAGATGATTCAATAAATTGTGTAAATGTTATTTTTTGTGATCAATTTTATGGGTTTACTATGACTTTATTTATTAAATATAAGATGTCTTTAAACAATCAAAATATGATCTTAAGAAAACTAAAATCTTTAATACTTTAATAATTTTTAAAAATAAATCAAGAAAAATAAAAATAAAAATTTATTTAATTTGAAACATTTATAATTAATGCTCAAATAATATTTTAAAAATTATTTATAAAATTATTAATAATTATCAATAACACAGATGAAAAGTAGAAAAATATGTAAACAAATTAATAATAAAATATTTATATTTTCATTAATATTAAGATATTTTTTTGTAGCAAGCTTTGTTAACAAGTTTCAGGCCAAGGTAGGCCACCTAAATAGGTTAAGTCAAACTGAAAATAAAGCCTTTAACAAGTAACAGGTCAGGCTCAGGCTTAATAATTATGTTACAAGCCAGACCTAATTATGTTTCCATCCCTAATTAGAAGATTCTTTTCTTGTCTTAATGATGACTGATATAATGATTGGCCTAATCAATTATATTTTTGGAAGTTTACACCATATCAATTGTCTCATCTAAATGTTAACCTAGTCATATCAAATTCCTCATCACCCAATCATGTTTCATGCATGGCTGCCCAAGAATCTCCCTTTTGGATTTGGTGCAAGTTTTGGGATTTGTATCACCTAAAATGATGTGCATGTTGTTTGTAAGCTTTCCAAATTTCTAATTTCTAGCTAATCAAAACCGTGTGCATCTTGCTTGTAAACTTTTTCAATTATTAATTTCAAAACAAAGAAATTGTAGGCACCATAGTCTTGAAAGCATTGATTAAAATTTTCATTTTCAAATTCAAGCTAATTTGCCAATTTCAAAAGTTCGCAAGCAAGTCAAAAGGAAAATCGCATGCATCATTGGCATTTGGCACTTAACGTTCTAAGCATGCAAATAGGAAGAACTAAACATTCTCTCATTTTGCCATCTCAAAAATCGTAACCTCTCTTCTCTCATTTTCTCTCATTTTCACTCTCCAAACCATGAGCCCTCACCCATTACCTAAGCCAATTTTCTCACTCTCTTATTCCCTTATCTTTTTCCACGTTCTCTCAAGGAAACTGAGAGGTTGTTAGCCCAAAACCCCACCACTTTCTCATCTTTACCTTACAATCTCCACCCACACATCTCGCCATCATCTCTTCAAGAAACTGTGCAGCAAAAGACTTGATTTGGAGGAAGAATCCAAGCTTTCTTGTGCAGCTTTCTCGGTCCAGCAAAGTCCAACTTGAAGATTAACTTGTTCCAACCCTTCCTTCTCCATTTTCACGTCACCAACTCAAAGGCAAGTGGGAGTTCTCATTGTTTGTGTTTAAATGCCTTTCTTTTGACCGTGTTTGATTTTGTTCTTTGAAAAGATTTATGCTTTTGACTCAATGATGTATGATATTATGAGATTTCTCCTTACATGTAAACTTCTTCTCTTACGTGATGTTTTGAACCCTCACGTTTTGATTTTCCCCCCTAAGTCTGATTTTGCCTTGAAACAAACTTATCTCCTTGAAAGTTTGAGTTTTTAGTGCTTACATGTTGAAATTTCTCTGTGTCACGGATTTTCCTCTTTCATACTTGATTTCTACGCTTAAATGAAATTCTATCCTTAGATGATGAAACCATAAGCTTGAATGTCAAGTTTCTTCCTTTACATGTTGATTTTGTACCTTTGTATGTCTCGGTTTTCCCTCTCCAAGCTTCATTCCCTTTTTTGAAATAAGACTATCTATTTGGATGATGGAAATTGAGTGTTTATATGCTAAAACTTCTTGTGTATGCCTCAATTTTACTCCTTCTAACATGATTTCCACTTTGAAACAAAGCTCTACCCTTGGTGATACCCAGTTATCTTATCCTGCCTTACCTGCTACCCCCACTCCTATGTCAGCTGACCCTCAAACCCTTATATCTAGGCTAGTCCCTATCCCTGTTCCTTTTCCTGCTCCACATTTCACTCCACATATTGCACCTAAATAGAGCGATATTCAGGTGATGGAATCCTCTGTTAGATCTCAGTCTCAAACCCCATTTCAATGTATTTCCTCCACAAAAATCACATATCAAATAGTTTGTTTTTGCAACTCCAGCTTGAAAAGTATTGATTTGTTGAGTCAAGGATACAAGTTATTCAAAAAGCAATTGATTTTGCATCTGATTTTGGGTGATCAAAGTCTCAAGTGCCTTTGCTTCAAATGCTCCCTTACTTGCAACATGTCTCTCATTGAAATTTTGATACATGTTGATGGCCATCATGTCAATTAATTGTTGAGCTTCCTCTAGAGTTTTTAGTATTCAATGAACCTCCCTCTGCTGCATCTATCATGGTTCTTGTGACAACATTCATCCTATTGTAAAAAGTCTCCAGTTGCATCCACTCTGGAACACAGTTGTGAGGACATCTTCTAAGAAGTTCCTTATACTTCTCTTATGCTTCATACAAGGACTCTCTTTCATGCTACACAAATGAGGTGATCTCTCCTCTTAGTTTAGCAGCCTTTGAAGGAGGAAAATATTTGGTCAGGAACTTGTTCACAAGATCTATCCATGTAGTGATGCTTCTTTGTGGTTGAGCTTGAAGCCAATATTTAGCCTTGTCCCTTAGAGAGAAGGGAAATAATCTCAAGCAGATAACATCTTCACTTACACCATTGATATGAATGGTGTCACATAGTAGTAGAAAATTATAGAGGTACAAATTGGGATCATCTAAAACATTTCCAGATGACTGATCTTGTTGTATCAATTTCACCAATGCAGGTTTGATCTTAAAATTATTGGCTTCAATTGTTGGTCTAAGAATACTCAAATTGTAATCCTGCATAGTTGGAATGACATAATCTCCTAAAGTCTTTGTCCTGTTATTTTCAGCTATATTGTTCTCTTTTGGTAGTGTTTGGTTCACACTTGGTTTTTAGAAATGGATGTTATCTTCTAGACTTTCTTTTGCAATTTCCTTGCCTTTGCTTCACTCTTCAATTGCTTAAGAGTCTTGATTGTATCTAGATCAAATAATAAAGTGGCTTTATTTTTTGTTTTTTCTTGTATACAAAAAGAAAGTAAGCAAAATATAAATAAAGCTAGAAATTATGGAGAAGAAAAAATGAGTTATGCAAAAAAATTATTGCAAAAAAGTACAACTAAATGCAGAAACAACAATGAATTCTACAGAGAAATTAAATACTTATATAAAAAAAATACAAAATACAATCATGCAGAAATCAACAGAAAATGATGCAGAAAATTATGTAGAAAACTAAAAAACAGAACATGCAGAAAATACATAAATTTCTGCAGAATGAAATTTACAATTATGCAGAAAATAGTGCAGAAATTTATGCAGAAAACAATGAAATGCAAAAAAATTAGAAAGCAAAACAACAAAAAGAAATGCTCAATCTAGCTATCGCTCTACTACTACTAATATTGGAAGTAAATAATCTCTAGCAACGGTGCCAAAAAATTGTCACATAGCTCAGAAAACACTAACTAACAAGTGTACTAGGTAGTTGTAACAAGTAATAAAATTTAAAATTTAGTTTGAATCCCAAGTATTGTTCTCAGGGATTAGTTCTATTAATTACCACTACCCAAATCAATAACTAGTTGAGCTAAACAAATTTGCAGAGATTTTGAATCATTTAACAATTGAAGTAAAAAGTGTAGTAAAATGCAAAGGTTCAGGAAAATAGAGTATAGAGTTTAGAAATGAGATAATATGTGAATGAAGTTAGGAATGATTTCACCATTTTATCAATTGCAAAACCGAATGAGATCTAAACTCTAAGTTCCTTAATTGATTGATGATCAATTTCACTAGATTAATCAAAGTTTAATTCCTTGACTCAATGATCTTAATATTCAATTAACTACCCTAATGTAAATCAATCAAACATTCCATTAGGCATAAGAAATTAAGAGATCACGAATTCTTATCCCTAAGATATCCATAACTTTGACATTTAATTTAGATATGAGAAATTAACTCAACTTCCATTGATGAAAATCCTCTAGGTTCAATTCAATTGAATAGCTAATCCAAGAATTGCATTAAAGATAGAATTAAATGTTCAATACAATCAAGATCTTAAAATTCAGATCCACAATTAATTTACAATATCAAAATCGAATCCATCGATTCTTAACAAAAAGAAATCAAAACATGTTCATAAAAGAAAAAGAAAAAGAAAGAGTAGAAGAAGAAGAGCTGCAGAATTTCTTCATAAATTCAATTTCTAACCTGATTCCTCAAGGTCCAGAGCTTAGAAGTCACCTCCAATATTCCTCTTTAACACTCTTACGGTGTAGAAATGAAAAAAAATGAGAAAAGATTTCAAAAGATCTGAGTTTCTGATTTTTTATAATTTTCTCGCCTTTTTGACGTGTTCACTTTGAACACTTAAAGTGAACATGTAGAAGGTCTTCTGGAACATTCCTAGACTGAAGTGATTACTTTAAACACTTAGAGTAAACACTTTATGTGGTTCTTCAAGGTTTTGTCATGCGCGTTTACACTTTAAATACTTAAAGTGAATACGCAGAACCTTCTTCTGTGAAACAAGCCTGTGCGTGTTAACTTTGAATACTTGAAGTATTTACGCACAAGCTTCTTTTGAATGTACACCTCTGGAGTGTTCACTTTGAACATTTAAGGTGTTTACGCGCCAGCTTAACTTGAATTTATACTTCTGGAGTATTCACTTTGAACACTTAAAGTGTTTACCTTCACTTCTTTTGGATTAAAGCTCTGAAGTGTTCACTTTAAACACTTAAAGTGAACACTTCCACTCCATTTTGCTAAATCTACTCCAGAATTGTCACTTTATGCACCTAGAGTAATAACTTTCATAATTCATCATTTGATTCTTCACTCTTTAAGTCCAATTTTTTCACTTTCTTTCATTTTCTCTTCTTGAATCCTTATCTTCAAGACTCTTAGCTTGAAATCTCTTGCAAAATTAGTTCCATCAACAAAATTATATCAGAATTCTATTAAATTCACACAATTTGAGTAACTAAAGACAAATATTGACTTTATTGAATATTGATATATTTTTGTGCAGTTTTCACCTTTCAATTTACATTTTTCTATGAAAAAAAAAACATAAAAAACTATCTAAAACATAGTAAAATATGGATTTATCAAGTTTGATCTGATGGTGCTCAACTATGGATAGAAGAGTTAGAAAGGATCTACGAGGTGATGGTTTGTTCCAATGAAGAGAAGGTGACTTATGCTGCTTTCATGCTTATAGGAGAGGCTGAATATTGGTGGTGGATTACTTGCCAGCAATTGGATGTTGAAGAAGTCATTATAGATTGGCCAACGTTTTCTTGAGAAGTATTTTCCTGAAGATCTTCAAAGGAGGAGAGAACAAGAGTTTTTAACTTTGACTTAAGGATAGATGAGTATTGGGGAGTACGCAGCAAAATTTGACAAGCTATCAAAATATTGTCCATATTTTGCACAAGCCAATGATAGATCCAGGTGTTCTAAGTTTGAAAGTAGACTTTGCGTTGACATCAAACAAGCTATTAGCTGTCAACAGGTGCATCATTTTTCAACTTTGGTAGATAGATGTCGTATCTATAAGGATGATATTAAAGCTCGCCAAACTTTATGGAGGAATTCTGGTCCTCAACTACTCAAAATATAGGCGTCTCATATTGTCATATTTTTAGTCAAAATAATGTGTCTACCCACGCTCTTCCAGATGAGCTTATCTTTTCTCATAAAGGAATAGTCTATTTTTCTATCACGAAGTCTAATAACCTTTGTAACTTAGTAAAAATTTCTTCTTGTTTGTGAACTTACTCAAAATCTAAGAACTCATGAGTGTTGACTTTAGTTGAAGAGACACACTCTTTGAGGTGATTTATGACAAACTTGGTAAAACCCCTTCTGTTTGCCATCTATCAAAGGTTCTAATGACGAGCTTTCATAACTTTAAAAAAATTTCTTTTCTCCAAATACTATCTAAACATTTTATGAAGAAACTTGCAAGAATAATTTACACGCAACGCAATAACCCAATGAAGAATTTGAAAGACCACTAATAAAAATTGAAAAATTTGGTAAATCAAATTCATGACAATAAATATATGCTTTGGCAAGCAACTCAATAATTTGTATACTTATGCAAAAAAAGTAATAGCATTTTTTGATTTCTTTTAATTAAGTTTTCTGCGCTTTGTTGATTTAAAATTACATGGTTAATTTTAGTTTTCTATGTAAATACTCTGTTTTTCATTTCTACGATTTACATATGTTTTTAGACTTTATTTTCTTCAAAGAAAAAAAATCAAAAACAATATAAAAAAAAATTGAAAAAATTCAGAAACATTAAACACTGTCGAGCGTTGATATGCCAAAATCTGTCATTCTAATGCTCGGTCCAAAGAATAACACAATTTTGATCTTTCGAACCAGTGTCACACACTCAAACTACACGTTGTAATTTTCACTATTGGATAATTTTTAAAATATTTCTGAGTTGAACGTTGCAACGCCAACCATCTGAACAAGGTGGCACAGTACTTTGTTCTACAACCCCTTTATGATTTTTATTTTAAAATTTTATATTGCCTTGTTCTCCTCAACATGAAATTTAGAGTATGTGTCACATGCCTGTAAATTTTATATTTTTTTAAATTGAAATTTATGATTGTTTAATTATTTTAAATTTAAAATATATTTATATTTTTTAAAAATAGACTACTAATTTTTATTATCTGTTATACATATTTATTATAATATTAATAGTTATAATTATTTTATATAAAAATGATATAAAATATTTTCTTAATTTTTAAGATATTATAAAAATTACTTTTAAAGTATCAATTAATTTAGAATATTTGTTATGATATTTGTAAATTTAAAAGAATATTTTATACTTTTTTAAATTAGTAATTACCATTCTTCTGATATTTTAAAAATTAAAAAATATTTATATTTTTTTAAATAAATCAATAACTCATATTATTTATCATAAATATTTAATATAAAATTAATAATAATTATTATTTTACACATGAAAATGTCAACTTACTTTACAGGGCACAATAGAAATTACCTTAATTTAGTTAAATAACTATTTTCTTTGGCTATTTTATTTAAATATTGTAAATTTAAAAACAATTTCTTAAATTATAAATTTTTTAAAACTATTTCTCTATCTGGGGTGATTTGGTTGACGTGACATGTTGTTTCGTTAAAACGGTTGGCAAAAATTTTTTTTTTTTAAAATAACAAATTTTCCCACCTAAAGTGCGAAATAACCAGATCATGACACATGTCAGCATCTAGAAAGTTTTGCAATATTTATCACAAAATTAATTAAGCAGTTTCGCCATGAAAAGTGAGAAACTTGTAGATGGTAATATGTGTCACGATCTTAACGAGTTTCGCCATAAAAAGTGAAAAATTCTTAGACAGTGACACATGTCAGAATTTTGACAAAAAGATTGCACAACTTACAAAAATTTGATGCGTGTCACAATTTTAACCCATTACGCAAATTAAATATAAATTATTTTAATTTATTATAAAATTATAATTACATCATAATTAAATAAAATTCTAACAAAATTAACTAAAATTATACTTGAAAATATTTTTTTTATTTATATACTATTTTAAATTACATCTTAATTTAAAAAATTAAAATTATTAACATAATTAAGCATAATATTTTTTTTATCAATAGATATTAATTATAATTATATTAAAATTAAAAAATAAATTAGTAACATAATAACAATAAATATTTTTATATTTACATACAAATTACAAATGTAATGTAATGACAATATATAATTTACTTTTATTAATTTTAATGATATAATTAAACAAAATCTCATTTAAATTTACATACAAATAATGACCACATTTAAAATTAAAATAAAATTACTAACATAATACTATAAAATATTTTTTATTTACATATAAATTTAAATTATATCTCAATTAGAAAAATAAAATTATTAATATAATTAAACATAATAGTTTTTATCAGTAGATATTAATTATAATTATATTAAAATTAAAAAAAATTACTAACATAATACCAGAAAATATTTCTTACATTTATATATAAATTACTAATGTAATGACAATGCATAATTTACTTTTATTAATTTTAATGATATAATCAAACAAAATCTCATTTAAATTTACATACAAATAATGACAATATTTAAAATTAAAATAAAATTACTAACATAATACTATAAAATATTTTTTATTTACATATAAATTTAAATTATATCTCAATTAGAAAAATAAAATTATTAATATAATTAAGCATAATAATTTTTATCAATAGATATTAATTATAATTATATTAAAATTTAAAAAAATTACTAACATAATACCAGAAAATATTTCTTACATTTATATACAAATTACTAATGTAATCACAATACATAATTTATTTTCATTAATTTTATTAACATATTCAAACTAAATCTAATTTAAATTTACATACAAATAAGATCATATTTAAAATAAAAATAAAATAACTAACATAATACTATAAAATATTTTTTTATTTACATACAAATTTAAATTATATCTTAATTAAAAAATAACATTACTAACATAATTAAGCATAACAGTTTTTATTAGTAGATACTAATTATAATTACAGTGAAATTAAAATAAATAAATTACTAACATAACACCAAAAAATATTTTTATATTTATACAAATTACTAACATAATCACAATACATAATTTACTTTTATTAATTTTAATAATATAATCAAACAAAATCTAATTTATTTTTATATAGAAGACCACATTTAAATAAAAATTAAATTATTAAAATAATAATAATTTGTATGTAAATATTAAAAATATTTTCTTGTATGTTAGTAATATATTTTTTAAATTTTAATATAATTGTAATGAATATTTACTGATAAAAATTATTATGCTTAATTTTGTTAATAATTTTAATTTTTTAAATTAAGATGTAATTTAAAATAGTATGTAAATAAAAAAAAATTAGGTATAATGTTAGTTAATTTGTTAGAATTTTATTTAATTATGATGTGATTATAATTTTATAATAAATTAAAATAATTTATATTTAATTTGGGTAATAGGTTAAAATCGTGACACTTGTCAACTTTCTGTAAGTTTCTCACTTTTTTATGGCAAAACTCATTAAGATCGTGACACATGTCACCATCTATAAGTTTCTCACTTTTCATAGCGAAACTGTTTATTAATTTTGTCATAAATATTTCGAAACTTTCCAGATGCTTACACGTGTCATGATCTGGTTATTTCGCACTTTAGGTAGCAAAATTTGTTATTTTTATAAAAAAAATTAATATTTTTACCAGCCATTTTGACGAAACAGCATGCCACGTCAACTAAATCACTCCAGACAGTAAGGTAGTTTTAAAAAATCTATAATTTAAGAAATTATTTTTAAATTTATAATATTTAAATAAAAGCTATTTTCTTTGGAAATTAAATTTTGTTAACTAATGTATATTATTTAAAGAAATAATAAATAATACATTTTTATTAAAATATATTAAAAATATGAAAATAAATATAATTTTTATGTCTTTTAATATAATATATTTTTTCAAAATTTTTAATTAATATATTTAAGATAATATTAATGTTTTTAGATAATTAATAATCTAAGTTACCTAACGAGTAATACTACCCTCTTTCTGCGTATTAATTTAGTCAAGGTTCACATGGAGTGACTTATAGTCATCTGACAGCATCCCCAATTGACTGCTACTATCGAAAATTCTAACTTGGACAAAATTTTCCAAGTGTCTCACATGGAAAGACCCAATGTTAAAGAAAATTCTAAGTTGTGTAACAAAGTCAAGGCGTCATAAACTTGTTTGGAGGCTGTTGGTGGGGAAATTTTAGAATTTGTGAGTCTAAATTGAAGTGAAAATAAAAAAGAAGCTTCAACATGTCATGTCAGCATGTTTGGATAAGATTGATTTCTTAAATTGATCTTAAGAAGAAAATCAAATTGGACAAGTTTTTGGGGTTCGAAAATCGCAAGTGTTGAACAAACACTGCAAGTCCTTGAACACATTTATAATTCGAAAAGTAATCAAAGGGATATTGCAAAGGAAATAAACAAACTGATCCCATCAGCAGAATGTTCAAAATTTTTATATGTATTTAAATTTTAATATTTTAATTTATTATTTTTAAAAATTTAGTAGTTCTTGTCTCTCTTATTAATGTAGTATAACAAAAAATTGTGTAATTTTTTAATAATTAATTACATTACATTTAGAGATTAAAATATTAGATTTAAAAATTAAAAAAGGGAAATAAAAATAAAAATTTTATAAAATACGAAAATTAAAAACATACTCAAATAAAATAATATCTAGGTGCTGTCTGATTTAAGAAAATATTTTTTATTTTTATTTTCAGAGTTTTGGAAAATGGAAATCATGCATGTTTTGGCACGAAGTTTCCTGTTTTTGAAAAATAAAAACAGTAAAAATGCGTGTGATTTATTTATATTCAATAAACTTAAAGTTTATCAAAAGTAAACAGAGATAATAGCATCGGCAATAATTTAAAAATCACTAATAATATCTTTTATTTTTAAAGATTTTATTATTTTTTAAAAATTTACTGTCAACGAATTTTGACTTTTTTTAATTTTTAATTTATTTAAAAATCAGTATCGATAATTTTTGAAATTTTATAATTTTTACTTAATTCTTTTCACTTGTACCAAAGATTATCATTAATAAATTTTAAATCTCATATTTCCTTATTTTATTTAAAATATTATATTTTGATAAAATTTATATTATATAATAAAATAAGCCATAGTCGAAATTGGAACGTTAATACGAACACCGTGTTTGGATCTGTCTCGTTGATATTACAAAATCATCACCGTCTTTCCTATGTCTTCACAATTTTCACAGATGAGGGAATGTCAGTTTTGGACTGTATTTTAAATATGTTTTCAAAGAAAATATTTTCAAAAATATAACCAAACACGTTTCCTCAGAATTTTCTATTTTCAATGAAAATGAAATAAGAAAATATGCAAAGCAAGCATGCTCCAAGCTTGCCAAGTGCCTCTAGAAGAAAATCAAGGAAAAAGACGGAGTTGATTTTTCTCTTCTTTTTTTTTTTTTTTTTGTCAAACAGTGGAGTGTTCAACACTTAATTAATTACAAGGTTTGACTCATGATCGTTTGAGTTATGTATGTATTTTTTGTTATAATTTGTTTTAATATGTATTTAAGAATGAGAAATTATTAAATTGTAAAATTTTATTAAAAATTATAATATTTAATATTGATAATAGATTTATTTTTGTTATATCTTATAAATTTTAATAAAATTTTGTTATATAAAAATTGTGTTCGTTAGGAATACAATTAAAAAATTATGTTATTAAAAATTCTTGATTAAAAATACATGAAAAGAGTGTTAACAATATATTTTTAATACATTTTTTTATTAATTAAAAATTATTAATATATATAAGTGAGAACTGTTATTTTAAAAATGAAACTCATATAATTTTTAATAAATTTTAATTAACAATTTGTGTGAAAAATGTTATAAATTATGTTATTAATATTTTTTCTATTTGGTTTTTATAAGCGTAAGAATCTTAGAAGTTTATAAGAAATACTAAATATGTGCTGAAATGCTGTATCATAGGATGACTGCCATTTACTCTGCTTCTCTAGCATAGCATGTATATAGCATTCCCTCATTCTTAAATCATTTTTATTTCTCTTTTTATTCATTGATTATGAATCTATTACAACCAAAAGTTAAATAAAAATGCATCATAATTCTATTTGACTTGTGACACCTTTTGAGGAAAAATGATTTGAGTTCTAAAATCTATGTTAGCAGTTGTATTTTAAAAATTGCACATAACTGGTTCTTGATTAAGGGTATCACATCCACATGTGCTAGATAGTTGTATACACAAGTAAATCAGATATATATAAGAAAATCTTACAATAACATAACACAAAACTTGTTTATAACATTATTTATACATATATAGAAAAGATGCAAATATAGGAAAACGAGTGCGAGAATAAAGGTTACATAACGTCTTTTATTCTATATTGCTAGCAATATAGTGAGATTTCAAATTACTGCTTAGTCATTTCTACTTATAAAATTCCATGACTCCTGACATAGCTGTGACGTCACTGGATGCAATATGAAATTTGGAAAAACCAGAACTCATGCATAGGTTCCGAAATTCATTCTCAGTTCTTTCCTTTCCACCATGTACTAAAAACATGAGATTGTCGATAGCACAAGTATGCTTAGATATATTGCTTGAGTTTGGAACTTCTGGCATTATAAAATCCAGAACAATCACCTTTCCATGTGGTGGCAAAGCTTTGTGGCAATTTCTTAAAAATTTTATGCAATCTTCATCTGGCCAATTATGACACACAAGCTGAAATGACCAAAGACAAGAAATGGAAAATGTGATTAGAAATTTACTTGTTGCATTCAATTGTTTAAAAGTTTAAACTCTCATTTAGTTCACCAACCTTCAGTAAAATTGCATCACCCTGTGGAACACTTTCAAACATATCTCCTCCAACATGCTCTATCCCTTCATGCAAAATGAGTGTTTGTTAATTAATAAATTTGGCATAACTTTTTTCATTTTCTTTCTTGGAAGCCATCTTTGAAAGATTCAAAGACTGTATCAAATATCTTACCTGGAAGAGGAGTTGCCCCTTGAATCATCTGAGGCAAGTCAAAGTTAATTCCTTTGATTGAAGGATAAACAGATAGAATCTGTTTTAGGGCCTGCCCTGTTGAACCTCCTACATCAACCAACGTTGACACTCCCTCAAATCCTTTATATATTTCAAGTACCCTTTTCACATCTAATGGGCCAGCGTAAGTCATTGCTTCGTAAAAAATTTTATTTATCTCCTCGTTTGACTCCATATATTGGTACGCAGACATTCCCAAGACACTTTCAAAATGTACATTGCAATTAGGGTCCAAAATTGCATCCTTCACATTCTTCCTATTAGAAAACAAGAGAAAGAATCATATTAAAAATAAAACTGAACTCTCGCACATTTTATATCTATAAATCCTCTTAATTATTGAATAAATAAGAAAAAAAAACTAGTAAATTATAAGTTAATTACCAAACATCATGATATCCGCGGTGTATTAAGGTTGAGAGAGGACTCAAAGAGCTTCCATCATGGACACGTGCAAAGTATTCCCCTACGGGTGAGAGCAGATAAACCCTTTCTCTCTTACCATCTTCATTGGTGCGAATGGAACAACTCAGAAGAGAATAACTAGCAAGCAGAGGCAATATGCGGTCAAGTCTTTTAGCCAATTCAGGGTGTGGATTTGGAAACAGAGAAGCAATTTCAGAGGCAGACATGCTTGAATCACGTGACCTTTGTCCCTTTGCTATGATGTCAAACAAATTGAGATCAATAGCAGCGTTTAGAATTGCAGGGAAGACTCGACTGAAACATAATACTAAAGCAGAGAGATAAGCATCATCAACCTTTGCTACCTCTGTTGGAGGCTTGTTCTGTTTGGAATCGGAACTCATTTTTACCAGTCTTTGGGACTCTGTTTTTCTTATTTGGTTTAGTTGTTGTAACTTCACTTTTGAAGTTGCCCTTATATTTAGGCACAGCAACAATGTCCCCGTCATATGTGACTATTCATTAGAAAAATCACTTTATGGTATCTTGTAATAGTCGTCCATCTTTTCTAGAAACTTGTTCGACTCGCGTCATGGATGAGGTGTTGCAATGACTTTTCTTTAGGTTGTGGTCTTGATTCTTTGGAGTATCAATTAATTCAAATAATAATAATAATAATAATAATAATAATGTTTGATTATTCGTACTTTCCATTAAAGTAGATGAAAAAAAGTTTATGTTTAAAACATGATCTTTTTAAAAAATTCATTTATTTTAAACCTTGTATAAAATAAAAATAATGAAAGTTATTCTCTCTCTTTATATATATATATATATATATATAATAATTTTTAAAAGTTAAAAATGTATAATTTTTTTATAGAAATTAAGAAAGTCTAATTTTTAAAAATAAGCAAATATTTAAACTGATTAGAAATTCAATATTCCTTTGAATTTGTGGTTTCATTGAACATGTTTCGAGATAATAATCTGCAATAAGAATGAAATAATAGTATTTCTTGGTTATGCCAGGTAATATATCAAGCATGAAATTTTTAATTTTTTTAATTAAATTTATTTTAAATGATATATTTAACTTTTTTTCTTCTTTAAGTTAGTCTTATTTATTATGAGTAATTTAAATATTTCTGAAAATTTATTAAATTTAAAAATAATCATAAATATAAATTTATTAAATTTAAAAATAGTTAGACTTTGTGCACTTAATTAATCTAAATTTCTTCTATATTTGATCCTTTGAACAATTTTTTTTTTCTTTAATATCTACATAAGTTGGCCTAGGATAATAATTTCTTAGTTGATGATAACTTTTATTCAAAAAACTTATTTCATAGAATTCTAGATTATATTTTTCAATATTATTTAAACATAAAGTTATTTAATTGTCTAAATAAATTGGTTGTAGAGACATATTGAATTATTATTAGTTAATTAAAATTGGTTTGAAGCAATTCGGTGACAAGTCCTTATATATGTGAGGTAAAAGTCTGTGTAGACTATAGTTAGCTAAACTGGAGTTTATCAGCATCTGTAGTCAGACAAGCTATCATTTCACTATTTTCTAAGAAACCCTTGATTTGCAAGCACCAGATCTTGACCATTGAATTTTTTTTATTTTCGTTAAAGGTTGTTGCTTCCACATTAAATCTTAGTCATTAATCTTTTTAGTAAGGATAAATCTCGGCCTTTGGATAATTTCTTTCTTATTCATAAAATTCAAATTTCACTTTTTATGCTCATTTTCCCTCTTTATTGTTTTGAGCTCTTCATCTCCATTGGCCAACCAAGTGTTCAAAAACTTCTCCCATTTTTTCTCTTAAAATAATGTGATACTTAAGCTTTGCACTATCTTGGAAGATTTTTCTCCTCTATTCCTGACCACTACCTTCCTATTTTTTACCACTATTTTTTTCACCTTCAACCTTCATTTTTCTTCCATACTAGCTCTCTCTCAAGCTCTATTATATCTTAAAAAAGTTTGTGAGTGAAAGGTTAGAGAAATATCTACTTTCTTGGAGCACAATTTGAGCACTCTCCTAGAGCATCAACGTGAAGCTTGGAACCACTTTTGGAGGACCACCTCTCTTTCTTCCTGTCATTTTTGTATTCCACACTACAAGGTACAAGTAGGAGGGTGTTCTTTGTATTTTGATAGCTTTCCTTGCATGAAATGAAGTCCTTCCTTTAGGACTTCCTATAGTTGGTTGTTCAAAGTGAAAATGCATGACTTTGGAGCTGTTTTGGAGACATTTTTATACCTTTTTATTCAAGTCTACATGGCTGTTTGGTTGGTTAAAAATATAATCTTACTTGTTTTAGATGTTTGGATGTCAGTTTTGCATGTTTTAGAAAGTGTCGCCACCAATTATAGTATTGTTTGTTGTATTTAATGGTGATTGTTGCTATATTGTGATATGTATCATGAATACTACAGGTGAAAGTGTTTGAACATGGTGTTGTGTATATAAAATATTTACTTTGGTGCAATAAAATTACTTTGAGGAAAGTTGTCATAAAAAAATTAAGAAACTTCCAAAAGAAAAAGGAGTATTTAGACTTTGGAACATGAATTTTTCTAAACAAAGTTAAAAAAAAAAATTATGGAATACCTTACTAAATGGTTAAATTATTAATTTTTCCAAGATAAAGGGTTAGTACCTTAGGAAAATATGTGGTTTCAAAATCTATTAATATAAGAAAAGTGTATTTCTATGTTGAAATTTATTATAAAAGTTTTGTGACTAAGTGTTGTAAAACATGTAAATTTTGGCAAAGATAAGGTTATGTGTATAATTATTTGAGTGTAATAAGTATAGGTATACAGAAGTATTTTACTCCCACAATTATTTCTTAATAAAAAGTAGGCAACCTAAGTTTATTTTCACAAAAATTAGAATACTTTGGCCACTATAAAAAGTTGGTGGAGAATTTTAAATTTATATAAAAATACATACCTTGGAACTTAAAAAATTTTAGAGTATTTTCAGAAAGGTATGTACTTGTATAAATTTCAAAAGAGTAATAAAGGCTTGGTATATAAATACATAAAACGATAAACCTTAAGAAATTGGTAATAGTTTATAAGAAATAAAATCTTAAAAGGTAATGTTAAATATTAATTTTAACATTAAATATTATTGTTTTTTTTATTTAGGATATAAAAATGTTACAATTTATATAACCTATATTTGAGGTATAAGCATCAATAAACTTTATGTATAACACTCTTTTTTTTTTTTTTGTAGACTTATCTCTCAAATTTGATCTGTGTAAACTTGTAAGAAATGAATGGATACATTGGACAAAGAGAATAATTGTCTAAATAGATTGATTGTAGAGTCATATTAAATTATTATTAGTTAATTAAAATTGGTTTGAAGCAATTATGTTTTCGTTTAGGACTTTTCAATAACAAGTCTTGAGATCTATTCGATAAAATTCTATAATCAGACAAATTGGAGTTTATTAGCATCTACTTAATTTATTTAATTGGTGAAAAAAATTTTAAAGATAAAAAATAACTTTTTAAAATTATTTTCAAGAGGAAATTAAATTTCTAAAATTTATTTAATCAATTCTATAAATTAACGCAGTACAAGATTTTACTATTAAATAAAATTTGCAGAAAAAATTCATTTGTGAGATAACACTCTAGAGATATTTATTAATATTATATTTTAGAAAACCTTGTCTTCAGGCTGAGAAAAAAATACAAATTGAAGTAGGAACGATTGATATGACCCATTGTCAATAAACGTTAAAAAGTTAATTTTTATTACGAACTATCATTTCACTTACTTTTCTAAGATTTATTATTATTATTTCTATGACAAGAATTATTCTGAAAGTCTAAATTCTCAAAACAAAAATAATGTTATGAATTTAGTCTTTTCCTTTATTTTCTTTGTTTTAATACCTTAATTTTGTAAGAAATTTTCAACTTTTCTTTTAACTTATAAAACTGCAGAAAAACATATAATTCTAAAATTTATCAATCATAATCCAAATTTCGAAATAAAATTTAAAATATGTAAAAATATTAAATCTCACTAACAATTTACAAAAGAAAAAATAAAAAATATTTTCAAATGTTTTAAATAATGTTTAAAAATTTTCTAAAATTCTTTTAAAAATTCTCACACCTTATATGCAAACTTAAAACATAACATTGTCCTCCATATTATAAATTATTAGTAATTTAACTAAAATATCATTCATGATAAAATTCAGATACATGACTGTGAGAGAAAATTAGGGTACTCTTTTTTTTGTTTAGTATTTTTATGCAATGAGGAATGGAACTTGTGTGTGAAAATTAAGTGTGTGTTCCAAGTGATCTTATAATTAACAAAATTAGATAAAATTTTAATTAGTTAAATTATAAAGAAATAATTATGAATACAAATATAATGATGAAATAAAGAAATAAAGGCTGTAATTTACAATTTACAACTAAAAATATAAGAAACTTTAAGTCCCAAAATTTAAAATTATTCTAAATACTTAAAAGAAAATAAAAAGGTAAAATTACTCTTTTCGTCCCTTAACTTTAGGGTAAAATTTATTTTTGTCCTCTAAATTTTTTTTAGATCATTTTAATCCTCTAACTTTTAAAAAGTTTCAAATAGATCTTGTTTCGTTAAAGATTCTAACTTTGTTAAAAAAATTTGCTGTTTTATGCTACGTGTACTATGTATTACTATTCATCATCTTTCTCTTCAGATCTTCAATCTTGTTTCTGTCACCTTTTCTTTTTCTTTCTTCCTTCTTTCTTTTATTTTCATCTTTTTATACTCAAAACTCCATTTTCTTGACACTAACAGCCAATTTTTCAAAGCCTTAAGCTCAAAATTTTGAAAGCTTTCATGTGCAAATACTCTGCCCAGCTGTACATATTACCTTGAGTTCAAAATGGTCAATTAGGAAGTGTGGAACATTCCATTCCCATGGTAAATTTAGGTTGTGAAAGGCCAAATACTTAGTGCAGTGAACATTGAACTTTGGCGACGAAATAGCTAGGATTGTACTTTTCAAAATTAGCTCTTTTCTCTTCACCTCTACATGCCAAGTGACTATGTAGTTTCTAATGTATGTTTCTAGCACATGGTTCTCAAGGCGACCTCTACAATCTGCCGCAAAACTAAAATAAAAGAGCTCATCTTTCATCTTTTCTTGTATTTGTTCATCATCCTTTCCAAATCTTGTTTTAGCCAAACTGGTCCACATGAAAGCACAAGTCATAACAAATTTTGATAGATATTTTGGCACTATAAATTCATCTTCTTCTTTTTTTTTCATTCATTCAACCCCCTTGAGTAACCGAGAGCACTTTGAGCCTGCAAGAAGAGACCACGAACTTAGGAGGAAACTGCTGCATCAGTACATCTCACCTTCTCCAACATAAATGCTGGAGATAAAAAATGGGTATTTAGAAAGTTGATTTATTTATGGTTTGAGGGGTGAGTGCTTGATGTTAGTGGCAAGAAGATGGA